CTGTGCTGCCTCAGCCTCCTCTGAGAAAAGTCTGTTCTGCCGGGCGGTTCTCGCCAGATGATGCTGGCTACTCCCAAGTCCTCAGTTATCTCACCCCGCTGGACCATCCCCGTCCCCTCTCAGCCTGGGCCTCCCCTCCCCAGCCCCGGCCTCCTCCATCTGCCCAGAAGCCCCAGCTCCTCCCACTCATCTTGTTCCTTTTCAGCTCCCTGACTTGAGCAAGGGACCCCCCCCCCACCCCAGCCCTGCGCCACCTCCCCCGACACATGCAGTCAGCCACCAGCTCCTGGCAACTCTTCCCTCCCGGTGTCTCTTGTTCCCACCCTTCGTCTTCACTTCCTAGGTCCCACCCTGCTACACGCAGCCCCTCTCACCTCGGCCCTCAGGAAAAGGGCCCCGTCTCCCCGCACCCTCACCAGCCACACTGAATCTCTTCCATTTCCCACCTTTGGCCTAGATCTTCAGCTCCGCCGTTTGCAACTCCAGAAACCTCGCCGACCCAAGGCAGCGCCTGCTACTGAACAGCAGCTTTGACTAAGCGAGCGGTCCTGCCGGGAAGTCCTGCTTGTTGTCTGACCTCACAGTCTCCTGCTGCACTTGATGTCCACCTGCTCCAGGCTGGAGAGGGCAAAGTTGTATGGGAGGAGGGGAGGGCTTCTTCAGGGTACCTGGACCCAGGGGTCCAGGGCATCCCAGAGGCACTACAATATCCCAAAACAGCCCATTCTTCCTCTGCCCTCAGCAGCAGGAAAGGACGAATCCCCTTGGTAAAGGGACTTCCTGAACCAAGCCACCGGCCCCTGCCAGTGCACCCGCATTTGACCCAACCCAGTAGCTGTGGACTCAGGCCACCTGAGTCCCTGACATCCGGAGGGCACAGTCTGGAGGGACAGACCTGAGCAGCGGTTGAGGGTGCTCTAGGTCACACGTGAGGAATGGCATCAGGGCTAGGCCACACTGGTCCTTGAACCCGGGCTGAGTGCTCAGAAGGGGGACCACAGGCATGGCTGGGCCCCTCATCCACATCCCTGCCCCGACTCCACCTCCGAGTCTCGTTCTCTCTGCGGGGAGGGTTGTTCCTTGGTTTCCCAAATCACCTTTAATTCCCTGCCTCTCACACCAAGAGCTCCCCCTCACACGCATGCATGCACACGCACACGCGAAAGTCCCTCTTCATTCTGTGGGGGAAGCACAGGACCACCCCCCCCCGCCCCCAGCTAGGTGGGTCCAGGTCTGAGTCACGCTCCACCACTGATGACGGAGCGACCTCCGCACAGGACCGCCTCCTCCAGGCCTTGGGCTCCTCGTCTGTGAGACGGGAGTGATAACAGCTCCCACCACGGAAGGGGTTACGGTCGTCCTCCCTCAACGTGCTTTTCTCTTCTGCAGCTTCAGTTAGCTGTGGTCAGCCGCAGTCTGGAAAGGTTAAATGGAAAATTCAAGAAATAAACAATCCGTAAGTGTTAAATCGCATGCCGTTCTGAGTACCTTGCTCCATACCCTCACCTCCCCTCACAGCATCCCAAGAAGGGTGAGCACAAGAAGATATTTTGAAAGAACTACATTCACATAACTTATATTACAGTATATTTTTATAATTGTTCCGTTTTCTTAGTTATTGTTGTTAATCGCTGACTGGGCCGAATTTACAAATTAAATGTTATTGTAGGTATATCTGTATAGGACAAAACAGTATATCCAGGTTTCGGTACAATCCTCGGTTTCAAGCACCCACTGGGGGTCTTGGGCCGTATGTCCTGTGGATAAGGAGAGACCACTGTAGCGACCTCAAGTGGCAGAGCAAGTTCTCTTTATTTGCTCCTCAGAGATTCCCAAGAGATCCGTGCAGCCCCCGGGGGAAGGATGGGGAACAGGAGGAGGATGGCAAGGCTCCCACAGCCCCATGGGTCTTTGGAGATGCAGATATAAACACACACACATACACACACACCCAGCTTCTACCATGGCTCCCACAGCCCCATGGGTCTTTGGAGATGCAGACACACACACACACATACCACACCACACCACACCACACCACACCACACCACACCACACCCCCCCTCCAGCTTCTACCATGAGCCCAAGGGCAGAAGGGCACCAGGTCCAAGCCCATCAGAGCCCAGCCTGTCCTGCAGCACCATGCGCCACCTTATGGCCAAATGTAGCTAAATGGGACCTCCTTCAGCCCTGACCTCACCGGGTCTTTGAGGCCTTCCCCGCTGTCACCCACTCCCTCCAGGCTTCTCTCCCCTGACGTCCCTCCTGCCTTCCTGGCTGTTCTTTGCTCTCTTTCTTCCCAAAACGTTGGGGTATGTCGAGGTCCGCTCCCAGCCCCCTGCCCTTCCCATTCGTCCCTCCTCAGCTGAGCACGTCCACACCCCGTCACAAGCTCTCCACCAGTGGCTCTAAACCATTTCACCTTCCCCTTGGTAACATATCTTGTATGACATGAGATGACATACATATATATGCGTATAATTCCCAAAGGAAAACCATCCCAATGCTCTAACCGAAGCATCAGAGCCATCGGAGTGGGGAAATATATAGACACCGGGTCAAATCCTGGCTTCTACACTTCTTAGCTGTGTGACCTTGGGTAAGTCGCTTAACCTCTCTGCGCATCAGTTAGCTCCTCAGTGAAAAAGGGATTTTTTTTTTTTTCTCTGCAGCACTTTATCACGTAGAGTCGTTTTGAGGATTGAACGAGCACTTGTTCATGAAGCTTTGGAACTGTGACTGGCACACTTTAAGAGCTAAGTGAGTTTTGGTTAAAGTAATAAAGTAATTGGAGATGATATATATTTCGAGTAGTAAATACTTTTCTTGACTCCACCAGAAGACATGAGAAAATAATGAGAAGCTTGTGCCTATCCAAAGAACCCTCTTGAATGCAACAGCCATAATGTAGACTGATAAAGAGAATGTCAGTTTGGCAATTCAAATACCACAAGTAGTGTTGACATTAAGTACATAATTTTCCAGTGTGGTGACAACTCTGGGTAAGGTTCTGAACAAGATAAAGAGCAATCTTCCTTCAATTTACATGGAAGTTGCATTTCCAGCAAATTCAGCGTATGTTAAAACTCAGAGCATCCATGCAAAAATGCTCTGTATTTATGTGCAAGGCTGGGGCTTGGCTCAGACACTTACAAACAGGTCTTTTTTCCTCTACACGAACGTCTGGCAGGACATCCAAAAGCTGGATGGCATGTGGGACATTCTTCTTGGTGTGGACTGCCCTGTACCTTGCAGGGCGTCCGGCATCCCGGGCCCCACCTCTAAATGCCAGCAGCACCCCCGCCAGTCACTATGAAAATGAAAGCACCCCCACAACCCCCAAAACAGCACCCTGGGTCCTATACTGACTGCCAGAGGGACTTTTCCAAATCCCAGATTATGTTTCCTGTCTGTCTACTCCTGGTTACCCTCAGGCCAAGTCCAAATTCCTGAGCCGGATGCCCAAAGTCCTCCTAATCCGGCCCTCTGCTTCCTCCCCCACAGGACGGATCCACACTGTGTTCCCTCCCTCTCCCCTACCCACTGCACACTCAGGCAGAGCAGATGAATAATAAATGTGAGGACCATTCAGCCCTGGCCTTTGGGGAGCTCTCAGCTAGTGGAAAGACAGACACAGGGGCAATGCTGGGAGGAGCTTGCTCAGAGCCTGGTGGGGGCTCCAAGGACAGAGAGGCCAGCTGCCAGATGGCAGTTTCCCAAAGGAGATAGGGCCTTGGAGCATGAATAGGAGTTTTCCAGGTAGAGAAGAGGCAGACCTGCTGAAGACTCAGCATGGGCAAAGGCCAGGTGTGAGAGAGGGCATCATGCCTCCAGGGACTGCAGACAGGGAGCATCACCCGAGGTCAGGATGTGGAGGGGCTGGGATCAGAGGTAAGGCTGGTGCGTCAGCAGAGGACAGCTCACGCAGGGCGTGTACGGTGCCGAGGAGATTGGGCTTTCTCCTGGGGGCACTGGGGAGCCATGGAAGGGCCTAAAGCAGGGGGATGACACGACCAGGTTTGCATGTGGCAGAGTGTGGAGGGCAAGAGTAGAGATTTTCCAGGGAAAGATCACGAGGTCTGGATGGGGCAGAGGCGAGGGTGGAGAGCAGGCGTGGGCATTTGTGGGGCAGAAACAACAGAACTTGATGTCTGCTGGGACTGAGAAAGAGGGAGAAAGCCAGACTGTATGTAGCCTGGCATCCCAGCTTGGAGAAGCCCCAGTGTCGAGGACGGAGACAGGAGCTGGCGAAATGGCTTTGACCCAGACAAACCAGTCCTCCCTGCCTAAAGGACAGGCTGAAAACAGGTCCCGATGAAAACACTAGAGGGAGCTCCAGGCTAGGCTAGGCTCCCCTCTTCCCCCAGCAGCCAGCCTCCGCCCACTCCCAGAGCGGGATAGGATCCACCCCGCTGCTCAGATGTCGGCTCCGGGCTTCTGCCGGGGCCAGGGCCAAGAGCAGTGGCTCACAGTCTCAGGCCACCTCATCCTCTAGCCACCAAATTTGTGGGACGTGGGGTGGGGGGTTGTTTCTTGAGCTAGGAGTAAGTGGAGGCAGAGGTTGGGGACTATGCAAGAAGTACTGACAGCTTCCTGTGTGACCCCACCCCTGCTCCCGTGGAGAGAGGGGGAGTAACCCACCCGGAGTCACACCACGGTCACTGGCAACACCGACCCCAGCCAGGACCGCTGCTCCTGGTTGGGGATAGATGGAGC